TAAACTAAACTAACTTTATTTATACTGGATAGCTCTATCAGTTCTAAACTGTTCCCCCTAGAGGTCCAGTAAGGATCATCTCTTATTGATCCAGTGTTACTACAGGAGGAAACCTAAACTAAACTAACTTTATTTATACTGGATAACTCTATCAGTTCTAAGCTGTTATCTTTGGGAGTCCGATAAGAATCACCCCTTACTGATCCAGTGTTACTACAGGAGGAAACCTAAACTAAACTAACTTTATTTATACTGGATAGCTCTATCAGTTCTAAGCTGTTATCTTTGGGAGTCCGATAAGAATCACCCCTTACTGATCCAGTGTTACTACAGCAGAAAATTGGAAGTTACATATGTATAAATGTTCATTTGTATCATCCTTAATTTATCTTACTGAACGATGTGTTACTAACTGTGACGATGAGACGATATCAAGTAGCATCGTTGCTTCACTTCCCAACATCAACCGTCTCGTGTTATGTTTCATTATTCGATTTCTGCAGGTAAGCAATGTCTATGTATTGATGAGTACGTTGGTATAACGAGTTGCGAATTACCATCACTATCATCACCATCATCATCACCACCACTATCACCATCATCATTACCACCACCACCACTATCATCACCATCATCACCATCATCATCACCATCACTACCATCATCATTACCATCATCATCATCACTACCACCGCTATCATCATCACTACCACCACCACCACCACCATCATCACCACCATCACTATCACCACCATCATCACCACCATCATCATCACTACCACCACCACCATCATCACCACCATCATCACCACCATCATCACCATCATCATCACCATCACTACCACCACCATCATCACCACCATCACCTACCACCATCACCACCACCGTTACATCACCATCATGACCATTATTTAGGTCATGACATATATTCTCTGATATAAACACCCCATATTGTATATATTTTTCTCAAGATATTTTGTAAACCAGAAATAATACGTGTGACAAAAATGGACATGAATAACCTGGCGATGGTCTGGGCACCGAACTTTCTCCGTTGTCCATCGAACGAACCGAAAATAATATTTGAAAATACTCGCAAAGAAATGACATTTGTACGAACGTTGTTAAACAGCTTTGATACGGAATTCATGGAGGGCGTGAAATGATGAATTGTGGGTAAAATAATACGTTGCACAAGGCACACAGCGAAAACGAGCTGCTGAGCTATATATTAACTGGAGTAATATTGTTGACACTATCGGCACAGAATACTATACAGAAGTCCATCTCCATTGTTTTTTGAGTAAGCGCTATTCGTCATGATTCGTCACTCAGCAAGTACCGTAAACAGAAGCAGTCACCCCCCTGGACGTGTGCCATTGAATATTTCCAGGGGTTGACTGCTTCTGTTTACCGTACTTGCTGAGTGACGAATAGCAAAATATGGCAAAAAACAATGGAGATGGACTTCTGTATAGTATTCTGTGCTGTCGGGGATTTAACATATTTGTAATATTGGGATAATTTTAAGGTGAACTGACCTTACTACTCCAGTTACATATAGAGAGACTGGAATGACCGAGATGTATTAAAAAGAGCTCATCAGGCAGACTGCGTTGAATGGGCAATTGGAATATGAAATGCTGAGCCTTTGAAACAATCCAGTTATTTGTACAGAACGTTATTAATTCAATTGAAGTTTTATTATATTTGTAATGTAACATAGCACATTGACCAACATTTCACAGTAAAGCAAGGTGCATACAGTAGGATTTTAGTCGACTAACTCTGCCTTAACGCAGTAACACTATCTGCTCGGACAACTCCCCCCCCCCCCCCCCCC